TGTTGTTGTTGTGTATTTAGAAATGTTCACAGAAAACATTTTTTAAAAGCCCTTCTATTACCACAAAGGCACTCTGTCAAGACTCTGTTAAGGCCCTATTCAGTTGGATTCCTGCTGCTATAGTCCGGGAACCCTCCATGAAAGAAATTAGGAGAGTAAGTACTCGGAGGAGGACTTTCTCTGCGATGGCACCCAACCTATGGAATTCACTCCCCAAAGAGGTCCGCCTGGCACCGTCGTTACTGGTTTTTCGGCGCCAGGTAAAGACCTTTTTATTTAAACAGCATTTTAATTGTTAAAATATATGATCTGGCCAGGACAACTTCTTCTTCCTTCTCTTTTCTCCTCCTATATTCTTTATTTACTTATTTTATTCTATTAATTTTAATTTTATATTATTGTATCTCAGTGTATTTTTGTATTTTTGTATTTAAGTAATTTAAATACAAAGTAAGGTAATTTATTATGTTCTATTGTATTTGAATGTATCTTATTGTGTTGTAAGCCGCCCCGAGGCTTTGGCAAGGGGCGGCATAGAAATGTAATGATAATAATGATAATAATGATGATGATGATGATGATGATGATGATGATGATAATAATAATAATAATATAGTGCCCCGCAGAAGCTTGAAAACCTTCCCCTCACCAGGCTTTCCTGTGACAGGTAAAGAAAGCTGATCAGTCAAGAGAAACCAAGCCATGAGGGATCTTCTATTGAGAAAGATGTTTTGGGTGGATTTCCCTACTCCTCAATGTCTTCCATTTCACTGTCCTTTAATGCCCATAAGGGGAGCACCTCTGTCCTTTTCCCCACCTCTCTAGGTGTTGGGAAAGTGTAGAAATGAGTTAACCCCACCCTTGTTAAAGAAAAACTGACCAGTGGTTGTCCAAGATCCTTTAAGAATGGGAGTTTTGAGGGGGATCTCAGGAAAGTGGACTCTGAAGTATTTTCCAATACAAATCCACCTAGGTCCTGCTCAGCTCCCCCCACCCCATTTTAAAGGCACCCAGTTTGACAGTGACCTGTCAGTGAAACTCTCCCTCAGAGTCCTTCTTGCCAACCTGGCATGGCATTTGTGTTTTCATTTGTAAGGAGGGCAAGTTTATTATGTGGTCACCTGGGAACCGCAGCAAGTAATCCATGGAGGAAAAAGAAGTTTGAGGACTACTGCTCTTGAGTATTTGCAGGACTCTTAAGGCTACTTGAGTAACAAATGCAAAGTATGGGTGTGAAAAACCAGCGTGTCTGTGTCTGTGCCTGCAGTGCAGGGAAGCCTGCAAGACAACCTTTATCTGTACTATTTATCATTCATGTATTTTTTAAATAACCCCTTAGGCTGTCCAAGTGAGAAGACAGGCTTGTGGCCCTTATATGTGGACAAAGATATGCTCTTTTCTCAGAGCTCCCTTTAAATTTCCTAGCAACTGGATTAGTGTGTTGTCAAGCAGTCTGGTGCATGGATAAGGGCCCTCTTCAAATGAGGCAAGAGAATCAAATCAACTTTGGTACCCAAAACCCAATATATATATGAACAATGAAGCAAGGAGAAGTTCACAAATATTAGGTTGTTGTTTAAAATAAAATGAAACCTTGAACTGGTTCATTTCTACAATTGCAACATAAAGAGAGAAAATCCAACCTAAGGAATAAAAAGTATGGGAAGACCTGATGATGGACTACCAGGTGATTTCTCCAGTGCTTTCTTGCAGACCGCTGAGTCAGCCAGGAAGGTATATGCAAATACAGTCTTTGGGATCGATCACTGTTTGGCTGTTTCAGAAAGAAGAGGAGGTTTGATTGTTCATCACAGTGTGGAGGAAGGATGTTTTGCTGACCACGAACTTGTGGAAGAAAAATGCATATCCTTAGGCTAAACCCAGGGAACAGTTTTAGACATTTGTAAAACTAGAAACCAATTCTGTCCAGCAATGAGACAAATTCCTTGCTCAGAAGATGTGCTTATATGTTTATTTTTTATGATTGTGCTAAAAGGCCATAAACATCTCCAGTGATTGCTAGAAATGAAAGTCCCACTTGACATGCAAGATGCAAGAGCTTTGACAAACTGTTCCAAAGAACAAGTGGCCTTGAGGGTTAGTTATGCGTCACATGTACCTCTTTTCCAAGGGGTGACATGTAGGACACAGGGAATATAATTAGGTGTCCCCATGGTTTGTGGTTCCTTGCCATTTCTAATTGTCAGTTCTTATTTTTAGGCAAATTATAGGTTCCTCTCTAAGGAAAAGGAGCAGTCTTTTGTGGATGTAATCCTCTCTTTTAAATATATGCCCCCAAAATGCTTTCCATAAATTTTGTTATCTTGAAAATGGGCCCATCATGTATTCAGTAATATATGATGGGTGTGAAATAGTTTTATTAATGAATGACTACACCTAAAAATGGGAGGAGGCTTCCTTAGTTTTATGTGAATGTCTATTATAATTAGCCTTTTAATTATCAGTAACCATCTGAAAGTGACCATGAATAAATGTTTATTGAAAATTAAACTCTTCATTGTGAGGGGTGGGCAAACACTGTGGAAATCAGAAATAGGTCTGATTATTCGTCTTCAGTAGCTCCCAGTGCTTCCATTTTATACCAAGTCAGGTATACAGCACACTTTCTGATAGCTGATGTTGATTCGTAACGATGCAATGGCTGAGAAGAGGCAGCTTTGTTCCTCAATGTCAGGATGGGAGGCAGAATTGAAGGGGTGTTTTGTTCTGAGGGGCCCATTTCCAGCCTTCTTGCCTCACTTACGCCACCCCTTTCCCTGACCTGTTCTCTGTTCTTGCTATCAGTTTTTTTCCTGAGGACAATTTGATCACAAGTGGGAGGTAGACACCAGCACAAGCATAATACATCCATATGAAACCAATGGGGAATGTGGTAATAACCTTGTTGTGCAGATCAGCTTGAAGGCGAGAGACTTGTGATCTTGCTGCAAACAACTACCAAGCGTTCTCAGCTCCACACCTTGCTCGAACAGCACCATCCTTGGACTTGTTTGACTGAACTTCAATACTCCTAAGGCTGAACCCCAGAAGAACTGGCAACCCTAAGTGTATTTTAGTCTCCAGGTTTTGTTTAAAATTTCAAATACAGCGTTCAAAATAAAGCTTTCAAAGAATGTGTTCATTTATTTTAAGTGCTGTATGTTTCTGGGCATACTGGGTACAGCGTTTGCGCAACCATGAAAACAGACTTATTTCATTCTTTGCTGAATTATGTCTTGTCACACATAATATTTCTCTTGTCTGTTTTGGTTTGTTTGTTTTTGGTGGATTATGGTATACTGCAAATTGATACTTTTGTAGTTGCAAAGTTTTAAACTCAACCAGAAGACTTCTGTTCTTTTCTTCAGTTCTGGGAAGAATTGTGTTAAAACTGGTTCTCCTAGTACGTCTTCACCTCCAACCCAGCAAGCTAGGGCAGGCTGCAACATCCCTTTTGTCTGTATTCCTCAGAGGTAGTTGCCAGCACCCAAATCTTCCTAAAATCCTATGAAATACTGATATTTAATAACCCTTTACTCAGGAAATATGGCAATTCAGTCTTAAGGTTTTATATATGGAGAAAAATAGATCCTGTTTCAGAACTCTCTTTACTCTGCTTAGCAACCAAGCTAGCATGTTTGCCCAGCAGGCCAGTGCATGGGTGAAACCAGCCCTTGGGCCAGGAAAGAGAATTAAATCCACCTGGGCTCCAAGACAAGCTTGGCTTGTTCTTCTTTCCACAGTTAGCCAGCCAGCCAGACATGAAATAATGTTTTATTTTACAACCAGAGGCATTTTCTGTGCTGGGTGGGGTGGACACATTTCCACGGAGGGAGATCAAGCTGACCATTCAGTAGCCTTCTAGTTTAGGAGTTCCCAGTGCAGCACCCATGGACACCCTCACACCCCCAAATGTCTTCAGTGGTGCTCATAAAGGGAAGCCCAATCTGGCACCCATGGGTGTCTGCAACATTTATAAATTTATTAATTTATTCCTTAAAAATATATCCATGGGTTTTTATGTATACATAGTAATGAATACAAATAAAATGCATACAACTTTCTAGTAATTATATATAGACTTCAAGCAAAAGCAGAACAAATAGACCATTTCTCTATTTTCCATGAAGCAGGTAAAGATTTAAAAATGTGTACATTGATGAATATTAAGGACTCTTCCAATACAAATTTTTTTTTGAAACAAGCTTCTCCCCAAAAGAAACAACTACTACACATTGCCAGAGCATATGCTTAAAAGTAGTATCAGCTGTATTGCACCACCCACCATTAGCTGAATTGGACAATCCCTTATTAAAGGGACATTGCAGGATCCAGTAGACACAAAACCAATGTTTTTGCTGAATAAGACACAGCTTACATTCTATTAATGCAACAATCGATGCCAGAGGAGCAATCCACTGATTAGGCACTTTGTGGTGGTGTCCACCACATTTCTTCAAATTGCCAGAAGTGCTCACAGGCCCAAGCTTGATGACCCTTGTTCTAGGTTCTGTAGTACCTCTCTAGCAAGAGACGGGGTCATCCTGGAACAGATATATAAATGCTAGTGTCTATAGCTGCCTAGCCATGCTTGGTATATTCTTTGTTCAAATATATTTTGAGAAATGGAAGGGGAAGAATGGATTCATTACAGCTGATTTTTGTGAATTAGCGGAATGTTAGAATGCTTTGGGATCTTGTCTCAGGCTGCTGGAAGGCCTCCACATCTTTCAGTACTCTTGTCTGCTAGATTATTTGCACCCAAGAAGCAGCCTGGTGCAGACACTTATCGTCAGGATAAATACATCAGAAAAGGTGCACTTGGTGTATGATTTAATAAAACCTGTTCTCCAACTCAAGGATATGTAATCCTTCTTCTAGAGCAGGTTTCTTCAATACAAGTAATTGTTTTTCCTGAAGGAAGAGTTTGATTCCCTACCCCAGATTAGAAGAGCTTCTGGAGCTTTGGAGGATAACCTCTTCTTCTTTTTGCCTTTCAGACCTGTCATCGATTGAATTAGACTCATTTGATGGACAGACATTAGCTGAAATGCTCAGGTGCTACCTTCAGGAGCTCCCTTGCCCTGTGATTCACCCAGCAATATATAGTGAATTAATCCACACAGCTCAAGGTAAATGCCCATTCTTTGCTATTGACCATATTTTAAAGAATCCACATTCCAGAATTTTCCTTACTCAGCATTTTCAGGAATTCTTGGGAAATAGGCCTGATCGCATGACCTGAGGCATCTGACTCAATGCTTTTTTTCCCCCCAGAGTGGATGCAGTCTGATACTGGCTTTACCATTTTACATACTATTTTTTGAGAATGTGGCTATGTTGATTTGAATGAGTGTGCCTGACCCAGGTGAGGGGTTTGAGCATCCATCACTTGCATATAGATCAGCACAACTAATTGAAATCAGTCCAACAACACTCCATTGTTTCATAGTGTTTCTGGCTAAAGTAAAGATTAGGTCTGTGAAAACGCCTTGAGACCTGGCATGATTCCAGGGGGAATATTCCAGTTTTGGAGTTATTCAAAGCACCTTGAAATCTAAAGGTACTTGGTTGTAAAACAGTGTGAGGGAAGATCCTTTTGGAAGGAATGCTGGAGGGATATAGCAGAAGCTGTTTCAGGGAATTCTCTACTCTTTTTTAAGTTGTCTGTTATATATTAGGGGCTGTAACAAGCAGCTTCTGACCAGATTTCCCAACCTTCTTCCCCTCTGGAGGATGCTAGAAAGTTTGTGGAGCTGGCAATTTGTGCACTTGGTTTGTGCAGTCCAGACCAATCCACACCTAAACCCCAAAGCCTTGCATCCTATTTTTTCCCTTTACTCTTTGCTGTCTGTGTCTAACATGTGTTGTTAGCTGTTCTACAACTCCACCCTCATTCAGGCCCTAGAAGCATTTGATTTCATTTCACTGTGATTTGTAGTTTTGTGTGGGTGCTTCCAGATGGCTGCTTTTAACACTAATTACCCAAAGCCACTGTGAAGCTATTTAGATTTTCCTATTTAATAGGTCGGTCTGTCGGTCGGTCTCTCTCTCTCTCTCTCCCCTCCCCCCTCCCTCCCTCCCTCTCTCTCTTGTGTGTGTGAAGAAAACAAGATGGAAGAAGTGGTAGAAAAAACATGGGAAGACTGCAGATGGTTTAATATGTGAAGTGTGATTGTCAGTTCATACATAGAGGATCTTGCCTTAGGGTCCAAAGTGAATGTGGCATGGAATCTCACGTAACTTTCTTCCAAGACACACACAAAGATGAGTGAGGCTTTGCATCAACCTTTCTCCTCTAGTCATTTTTCTAGTCAACAATCCCCCTCCCACATTTTCTCTGCCTGCAGCAGGAGGAACAGCATTCTCTTGCCTGTCCTTCACCATCAGGAATAACAGCATTTGCTAGTATACTGGACACTGCTACTAGTGTTGTTTAAAAATGTGCCAAATATTCTGACTTTGCAAGATACCCTCCAGGTGTGGATTAGAGGACTTTTTACATATGCTGCAAGAACAAAGGAGTTGGCCTTGGAAAACTGGGTTGCACATTTACCCATTATTTAGATTTCTTCCATACTTTCCTGAGTTGATTCAATTACAATTGGTTACATCATTCATGCCCTTTAAAGAATTAAAGGGCAAAAGGGAAAATAACAAGGTAGAGGTTAGGCATCTCTCTGGTTCTAGTTCCATTCAAGATTGGAAGAATTCCTATTCTACACAGAATAGATAAATGGCAAAACATCAGAAGTTACTTAGTGTATGAGGTTTCTGTGCTGTTGAGCTGTACATTTGTTGGCTCGAGAGTGTAACTCAGCATGCCTGTATATATTCTGGGCAGTTTGCTGAAGTGCATGAGCATTCATAGGCAGCAGTAGCCAGTGACTAGCTGAGTGTCAGTCTTGTTGTGCTGGAGACAGCCAGAAGGTTATGGTCTTGAAATAAATTACAGAAGAAGACTGGAAATTATTTAGAGCCCTGTCCAAATTCCAGTTCACATTCTTCCTATTCTTAGTGGACTGGGTGCACCAGGAGACATGGTGCTGCTTCAAGCACTGGAAAGGATATAAGCATAGATTGTATGTATTACTCCAGGCCAGAAGCCCAAGTGGCTGCCAAGTCCCTGTGATACTGGCCTAGAAAGAAAGTGTTATTGTAATTTTTTGGCTGAGCTTCCTAGTAGGTTTTTACTGTAAATGAGTCCTTTTTCGGCTTTATATGGGCATAGAAAAATCTCTGGGGGCCCTTTTTAGTTTGACAAGTTGGAAGCCCCTCTCAATTCTTGTAGGGCGCTCTCTCTCTCTCTCTCTCTCTCTCTCTCTCTCTCTCTCTCTCTCTCTCCCCTCTTTTGGCCCTATATATAAATATATTTCCATGTTTAGATCTAAGTTTTACTGGAATTATTTATTAGAAACAGCAGGCTAAACTGTGAAAGTTAAAAGAAGCAGAACTTGGAAAAGAAGACTTTGATTTCTCAGTTATTAACAGGAGAATACTGTCTCTAAAGCTCTTCTAAAACCCCTGCATTTTTCTGTTTTAAAAATCATCCTCATCCTCATAGTGCTACAGGCAGCTAGTCCAGCCCTATTATTAGGCAGAGTGAGGCAGCTGCCTCGGGCAGCTGATTTTGGGTGTCATGAAAGGGCAGAAAATTGTTAGTTACTTAATTTGCTATTATTGTATTTTACTGTTTGTAAGGATAAGAGGCCTTTGGGATTTTGTGCCTCAGGTGCTAAAATATCTTGGAATCTATGCCCCTTGACTTGGGAAGTAGGGCATCATTTGCTGCTTTGCCTCAGGCAGCAGAATTCTTGAGCGGAACCTGACAGGCAGCCAGCACCATGCCGCCCCACCATCATCTGTCTTGTGAGTTCTGCCTCCTTAGAGATGCCAAAAGTAATTCTCCACTTTACAGCAGAAGCCTGAGATCCAATAGGCTTAATGACATCCCCACATAAAGTATGACAGTTGCCACTTATTTTGCATGCATTATTTGTACCTGTCCTCGCCAAATGCATATGTATTGTCCATCAAATCATGTATTGTCCATTTACAGATCATTATTAGCCCATGCTGCTCTTGGGTGAAAAACAAAAACACTGCAAAAATGTCTTCACCAAACAGATGGTTGAGGCTGTTTCTTTTGCCAGTGCCAACCACCTGTTGAAGGAGAAACTCTGATTCTTCCCTCCCTCCCTCTGAACAAGTGACTGCTGATGTCAGGAGTGTCAGCAGTGCTGTGCATGCAGTCCTGATGCAGCAACAGGAACTGTGTGTGTTGCCCTGTATGCAAGATACAGGAAGGCAGCATGGGCACCACAGCAATTCCCATTTGCAGTCAGCAGAAGTGGGTCCAGAAAAAGTGCATGTGGCTTTTGCTCACAGATTGTTCTTGATAACATATGTTTATCTTAAGAATGGCATTTGTTAATGCAACTTTTGAAATGCGAACTTCAAACCCTGGATGTCAGTAACTTTTAAATTTTGTTGGTAAATTTCGAGTCTTAGTAGCAAACTGCTGTTTGTTATAAGGTTATCTTTATGTTTTTGTTCCAGAATGTGTTGAGTGGAGTCTCAAATTCTGTGCAAATTTTTCCAGCTTAAAAAAAAATACATGAGTTGTGGCCTATTTTAATAACTGGGGTCCACATGTTGGCTCAACTTACATCAAAGCAAATTGGTGCACACAATCTCTTCACTAATACTGAGCTTTTCCAGTAGCACATACCACAATCTCTAACCAATATAGATTGCAAATCACAAGAAGTTATAGGAATCTGTAATTGGTATTCTAGTCCTGCTGAAGATTGTTTCATTTCCCCTGGCTCAGAGGCTCAACAGAAGCCGAAGGAGAACTAAAGGTGGAATGTAGCATTTGTCTTCCTACTTCAGGGAAAACTGTCAGCAATCCCTCATACACCTTCCACGCCTGAAGACAACTCCCGCACAGCTTTTCCTGCTCCTCAACTAAGTGAGAGACCCCAGAAATAACAGTGGTCCCTTGAAAAGCTATAGCTAGAATAGGTAGCAGGGGCAGAACCTCCAAAAGTTCTGGACCAGTTAGCCTCAGTTGCCTGCAGCCCCTGCCTGAGCTCTCCTTATGAAGAAACACTCCAGTCATGAGCCCTGCATTATGCTGGCCAGGGTTCTGACAGCTTCCGGCCTGGCTGTGACCCTGCTTTCCTGGACCTGACTGTGCTTTGCTAGATATGACCCAGCCTTAGCTCCTGATACCAAGCCATCTGTGAATGCCTGTGCGTAGGCTCCTTCCCCTGGGCATCAAGCCAAGCCAGGACAAACAGCGTGCACTATTCAGACATGTTCATGGTGCTGTGATCCTTTTAATCAAGGCTGCGGAACAATAATGCAGTAATTGTGTTTCTGGAGTGCCTCTGTATGAATAATATTCTATGTGGGCTCTTGTGTTTTCTGTCTGATACATAAATAGAAAGCCAACCACAATTGTTTTCAGTTGCAAAAAAGACAGAAATGTTCGTATCTATCAAGATGAGAAACTCGGTGGAACTTTGGGATTCTGTCCGTACATGCATTTTAGGCAAAGATAATTAGTTTATTCTTGCTATTTGCTCAGTTCTCTTGTTCTCTCTCTCGTGCGTGCACGTGCACGTGCACACACACACACACACACACACACACACACTACAATCCTCCTGACACAGATCTCTTAATGGTACAGAAATCAGCTTCAAGTCAGAGGTTGTCAACTACCCATCTAATGCCTCCCTTGCACAAGAATATGTGCCCTTGCATATTCTGTATGCTCCCCTGGTCTACTGAGCATTTCTGTCTCTTGGTGGAAAACAAACAATCAGATGCATTTTTCTTGTGCAAAAGCGAAGAGGCAGTCACATCACTTCATGAACCGGCAGCAGGACTGGATCACATTGTTACAGATTCTTTCATACCATGGAAAGCCACTGTTTTCCAACTGCATTTCCAGAGTCTTTCAGAGACAGAATCATTTCAGCCTGCTCCAGCCAAAGCACATGCCTCTGAAACCTTGATTCCAGCACCCCAGAGTCTTCATCTGTGCCTCAGCAAAAATGTGGGTCCTACCTTTTCATGTCCAGTATTTTCTTGCTGAAATTGTTGTTGTCATTGTAATAGT